TGGTTCTGAAGGTCGAAATTTCCAGAACGAAAACGTTGAAACCAAAAACGTACCGTGCTTTCTTTTGCGACACCAGCGCCGTACACATCATTAATCCTTTGAGCTGTTTCTGCAGCACTGGTGCCACGGTAGAACTCGTACTCGTAAATATACCGATATTTCATGTTTTCCATTGTGCGGTAATAAGCGACGCCAAAGAAAAAAATAATGAGGAAAATATACAAAAGAATGACTGTTTTCAAATAAATGATTTTATAAATTTGAATTTGGAATTCTTAACCAAAGAGGAGATATTTCAGATCAAAGTGGTCAGTACGACAAAACGCTAATTTCATATGTAAGGACCTAATATTATAACTTGTTTTTCATTCTGAAATAAAAAGTCTTACTGCGGCCGTTCCTAGATATTGTAACTTGTAGTAATAGATGAAAATTTTAAAGATCTAATTGAACTAGTGTTGGGTAGGACACGACTTGAAAAAGAGTTTGTAAGAGTAGGCTCTTTTCTGTACTGAGCCAGTACAATGTCCCACTTCAAATGAGGCGAGGCGTACTGAAGATACATTTGAAGTGACGAGAACAAATATGACATTGAGGCGTACAGAAGCTCGACATTACGTTTGTGTGCACGAGTAGCACCTGGAGCGTAAGTTCTGAACGCAACCCTGGGCTGCGTTCAATACCTACGCTCTGAGTGCAACTTTTACCCTGACGTTTAAATTTTGACATAAAATGTATGAAGCTAATGTCAACTTAGATATTTGTTGCACCTAGAGCGTAGGTTTTGAACACAACCCAGTGCGAGTGACAAGGATTATTTGGCAAATTAATTATAGAAAACACAGTGAGACAGCATTATTTCCAGTTTGTGTCATGCGATGCGCCACAAGATCCTTGTCGCACTGTAACACAGACTACGAAGATAAGAGAGAGATAGGTACTACTACACTGTACCGTAGAGGACTTAAATGAAATGTCATGCCTCGCTCTCTCTCAGACTTACGAAGAGTGAGTGAGTAACGAGACGCGACTATCGCGACATTTAATGTGAAGTAGTACATTTTAAAATTTTGAGCCGCTCTTACATTTTGACGTCATGTCCGGGACAAATGTACCGCCTCTTGTAAGTCCTACTCAACACTAAATTGAACTCTGATTATTGCACAACACTGATTCCTGACGGCGGTTGCGTGCTTTGTGTTCATATTCTCCAAATAATAATTTATACTATAAATTACTTAAAGGCGGTATTATCATCTGTGAAACAACACTATCCTTTGGTGGTTTTTGTCAGTGAGTAAGGTCTGGAATCTTGGCTCACCTTTTTTTTTTTACCCAGGGAAATGCTTTGCGCATACCCTGCTACTGGGTGGGCAACAGGGTTATATGGGACTCTCCATACTGGCCTACCCACTAAAACCCTGGGGTGTGCCGTCACCTCCGGATGTGACGATGTGGGATCCTTATTGGGAAGCAACCACATCGTCCCGGCGGGCCCGGCTTTGCCCCGGGCCACTCCACGGGCGGAGGGATGCCCATGCACAAAAAGATCTTGGCTCACCTAACCTAACCTAACCTAACCCAACTCAGTGGGTTTTGGGTTAGAGTAGGCAACAATAGTGCGACTGATATTTTTGGGCTTACCTTTGGGCGCTTGCGCTTGATTGCCACCGTTTTAACATTAAAAAGCTGATCCTTTATGCTCTTTGTATAAGTAAAACAAAATATCCAGGTTCGAATGCGGAGTGGAATTCACAGAGCAATGTTCCATCTATTCCAATGCAACAATTGACAGTCGCCGTTTTATTTAAACGGTCGTTAAGAGTGGTTCAAAATAGCAAATTGGCCGTAACGTAATGGGCTTTCAGTCGGGAAGGGATTGCAGTTGTGCGCAATTTGAGGTAGCTAAATAATGTCCCCCACTGCTAGGGGACTCTACAACTTCTTTTTTGGAAGAAATAGATTGAATTTCAATAACTTCTATTCAATCTAGGCTGTGACAAGCACTTGTGAATATCGAAAAGCTACACGATTGGCTCGCAAATCTACGGCGAGAGACCTTGTACTGTGAAGAACCGGCAAGAAACTCAGCAAGGGCTGTTTCTTTCTCCCTTTTTTATTATACAGAGTCAATAGAGAATATCTGATTTTCACACCGGTTTCATAGGGCCCTAGAAAATTGCAACGTAAATGGTTAAGTGTTTTGTTCCGGAGTTCTCCCGAAGTCTCGAGGTAAACTAGAAGTAAAGGAAAAATTACGAATATGCCAGCTGTAATCTTTCCCGTTGAGGAGCTCGATGGCGCAAGTGGTTAGCGCGTTCGGCTGCGATCGTTGAAGTTAAGCAACTTTCGCAGAGGTCGGTCATTGGATGGATGACCATAAATTTACTATCTCGAGCTCCTCCGTGCTTCGGAAGGCACGTTAAGCCGTAGGTCCCGGCTGCATCTGCAGTCGTTAGCACCCATCAATCAGCCCCGCGTGGTGCGTCATGGCCCAATCTCCTTATTCCATCCATAGGGAAGGCCTGTGCCCCAGCAGTGGGGACATTAATAGGCTGATGATGACGATGATGAATCTTTCCCGCGCTGAAAGCATAGCAGCAGAAATTACGTAATATTTTATCTGAAGTTCAAAATTACAGTTGTAGTTAAGTTGTATCAAAAATGTTTAAATCTTGAAAAAAAAAAAAAGTGAGGGGTGTCTAAATTTTTCTTTTGGACGCCTATGAACTGGCCACCCTGTATAGCATGGAAATGGTATAGCATTGTGAACAATTCGATGAAAATCAAATATAGCTGTTTACGAAATGACACTTTCAATCATAAAACCGACACAAGTAATTTTCCTGGAAGGAAACAAACGGGATTGGTTGGAGATTAGGAAATTGCAAGCCGCATCCCGCCCATTGCCCTACTTGCATAAGTTGCCGCGGTTACCATGGCACACCACGCGGCCGCTACCGCTGATAAAATCTTACTCACTACTGGGGTTACCAACTTTATTTTCTATCAAATATAGTATTTCGAAGCTTTACTTTTAAATATGTATATAGTAGCTCTGGCAAATAAATGGAAAAAATATATTATGTGGTTAAAATATTTACTTCATTTTTGAAATAAATATATTTTTGCCGATCTTTGCCTTACTAATAACATAATAATAATTTTTAAAAAGGCTTTTACTGTCAAAAATATGCTTTGGGGCCGTTCATAAAATACGTCACGCTAAAATCAGCTTTTTCCGACCCCCTCCCCCCCTATTGCCACGCTGTGTCACACTTTCTGTGACCCCTCTTGAAATATTCCGTCACAAAATCGGAGACCCCCCCCCCCCCTCCCCAAGTATGATTAATTTCAATTGATTGCCCCTTTAAGCAAAATATAGTAGTTTCGCCTCCTATATTTTTTTTAGAAATATAGTATTTGATCCCCTAATATAGTTAGGATACTATATTTATTTATTTATTCAGTTTCACATGCTGGTTTACAGAGCAAGTCCAATACACCAACAAGTCAATGCAATGCAATACAAAAACATTCATTATACTACTACTATACTATATTAAACTATATTAAATGGTAGGATACCATATTAAATAGTATGGTTGGCAACCCTACTCGCTACCCATCAAACTAAGACAGGATTAGGTCAGTAACGCCATTTTGGAAATATATACATGTAAATCTCATAAAAACGTCAATCAACTCTGTCATGGTAAGGTAATTTATTCATTACCTCTAAAAATAAATGGTTAAATATTTTCTTTGGTGGTGAATGAATGTAATAAGAATCAATTTGAAGCATCACTTAATTTATCATAGTGTTAGTTAGGTTTCTTTTTAATTTTAAAACTAATTAAAATCATTAACATTAGAATGGAATATCCGTTATTTCTTGGGATTAATCATTATTACAAACGATTTCCTAGCGTATTCTTCATGGACGATGTATTTTCAATTACAAATTTAATTGATAACATTGCAGGGAACTTAGAATGCAAAAGTATTTAAATACCTATAGCACTAATTAGATAAGAATCTCGTAAATAGACAATGTTACCCACTAAAATGACGAAACAACCGAACAGCTTGAATGCCCGCATTCGTTAAGTTTAAACCACTTTCCGAAAATTAAACCTACTTGCCTATCAGTGTTACCAACCCTTACCAAAATTTTACCCGAAGTATTTTTTAAATTCCCCTAAAATCCCCTTAATATAGAAATTTATATGTACCTACTTATCTTATTACCTAAATTCTTTCGCTGCTCATAAATTAAAACGTTACATATTTAGTTACAGTAAATTATTTTATTGAATAAATACATTTTTCAAATGGAAAATCAAACGAAAATAAGCTGCCAGGCAGTTAAATCTTATTTAGCGGTTTTGTTTGGTGGAAGGCAAAGAACTTTAGTCCATACAGCCTTAGGAAACAACCTGCCACACAGTGAGTTCAGTCGTTTCATATCGTGCTGCGTTCCATTCTACGCACAAAACTGAAAGAAAACACACGCTTTGTTTTTCGATTTAATTGAAAGTTTTGTTAAAAGCCCCTAAAAGACCCCCCAAAAAATTCCAGCCCCTAAAAAAGTCCCTTTTAACACTTTTAGCCCCTAAATCTGGGGGCAAAACCCCTAAGTTGGGAACCCTGTTGCCTATTGCGAAATCCTTATACTTGAATGCGGGCAGGCTATATTGGGACGGAAACACAGACATTTCTTCTATAGCGCTAATGACATCAACTTGTGGCAAATGATACCCTCCATTCTGCTGAAAACTATTAGAAAAGTGAGTGCACTGTACAGACAGACCTTCTCGAACTCCAAGCACTGTGCGGAACTCAACTTTATCTCTTTGTAAATACAGTACTCTTCTCCCGAGCAATTTTGGTTTTATCCTCAGCTTTTTATCTGTATTATGTTGCTCATACTCAACATTGGATACTCGATGTGTTTATTTTTGTAAATTATTGTTACTGATGCGTTTTTCCCGTTCTAGGACATGACGCGACAATCCATCCCTGTGGCTACGAAAGGTGAGTAATCTTTAAATTCTTCTTCTAGTGTTAAAATAGTGCGGGTTGACATAGTTCCGATATAGTGTGACGTTTGTGAATCATACAATGCAGTGAACATTTGCTTAAGTGTCACACGTGTAAATATAGCATGGTGCACAAAGAGTTCCATCCACAGCGCACAATGATCTCACTGTAAACGATCTCGTCGCAATATACAATAGAATGGAATATATTTTACTAACCCTCATTTACACATTTACAGAAAAAAATATAAAAAAACGGCTACCAGCACCCTGCCTCAGCATTAGCGCTGTTATACTGGCAGGGCCTGTTTAATGACAAAATAAAATTTGCATTACTTGAAAGGGTGTATGGGTCTAGCATCCTTTGCTTTCAAGTAACAATAAATAAAAGTCAGTAAAAAAGCAAAAAAATGTGACCATCATCACTTCTGAAGAACCTTTATCCTGGTTTTAGTGTTACCATTAACTGCTCTGTTTTTATTTTAAAACTAGTTTTCTTTTTACCTTTAGTAAGTGTCAATGACACATTATGCTCTTTCCCAAATATTGAATCAAAAGGATTGCAGAAGAAGGAAAAGTACATATTAGGGATGATGACGAGGTACAGTTAAATTAACAAAAAGTAATGGAGATTTATTTTTTCTTTTGGCAAGCAACCAAAATATGAGAAAGATAAAGCAAAGCGCGTCAAAGTTTGGGAACGGGGCCTCGTGACGTCACTTCTAAGTAAAAATTATACCAAGACGTGAAGTCATGCGTCATTTTAAACCAAAGTATATCTGTAATTTTTTGATTATGTGAATTAAGAAAAAATACGTGTCCAATATGTTTTGATAATGTACCAGAATAAAAATTTTAGTAAAAATCCCTTTTATGCCCCAGAATAATTTGTAGGTGTCTCAAAGTATCACGTCGGGGTCACCAGTGTAGGAAGGCCAAAGGGGACGAACTTCCTCCGAGCTGGGTGATGTTAGCTCGGGGGCCGCGGACTGATGTTTTTTTTTTGATTCCTCCCAGGCGTGGGAGCGGGTGTGAAATCCTCATGGATAACTTACAGCCGGCTGCAAGGTTATGTCAGACTCTTACTGACTAAAACACACCCGTAGTTTATGCTTATGGCCTGAAGGGCCTTACAAGCTTCATCTGAAGCGATTATCCCCTGAGAGGGGGATAATGCAGCCCGACTGATGTTGGTCGGGCATCGTATATATGGAGTGTTTGGCTCCGAATTTCTCTTGCGCGATGTAGGCTTCCATACGTTGTGAACGAAGCGCGCCGGTAGCGCCATCTCTTAAGGAGGCGAGTGACTATTTTCCTCTATGTTCATTATATGTGGGGCATGTAGATGTCGCCGCCACAATATTTTTGTTACGGCAACTATACTTTTTTCGGTGGTAATGCTGTTTTCAAATACGTAATGAAATAGTGAAAGTCAATAGGAAATTTCTTTGTTTTTTATATAAATTGCTTTATGAGCCTTGTCCGCATGAAAGCCCGCGATCCCAATATATTGACAATAGCCGAACAAGGACGGCACTCAACACACCAATCACGCGATGAATCATCGCTCAGAAGTCTTAGAACACCTACTAAGTATTAATACTTTACTAGCGGCCGCCCGCGATTTAGTACGCATGGAGTAAGATTCACTACTCGTTCCCCGTCGGTGATAGCGTGATAATATGTAGCCTATATGTTGACCCGACTTCTTAATAATATTCGTGCCAAATGTGAAGTAAATCCATGCAGTTTTCAGTTTATCCCGGACATACATACATACAGACAAACTTGACGACCTCCGTAGTCGAGTGGTTTGTACGCCGGGTTTCAAGGTGTCGCCAACTCGAGAGGTCCCGAGTTCGAATCCCGGTGGGGGCAGATGTTTGTGTGATGAATACGAGTATTTGTACTCCAGTCTTATATTTATGTTTAATATGTATTTCTATATAAATATACTTGTTTATATATGTACTGTATATGTATTCTATCCGTTACCCTAGTATCCCATAACACAGGCCTTACAGTGCTTACTTTGGGGCTAGGCTAATTGGTGTGTGTTTAAAAAAATTAAAAAAAAAACACAAAAATTCTAAAAACTATATTTTTGGCTTCGGTATCGAATGTAGATCACACCCCAACTATTTTATTTTTAAAATATTCAATGTACAGTTTTGACTTTCCTACCATTTTATTATATACGCATAGATTAAACAGCCGCTTGAAGTGAGAGGTAATACGTCATCACATCTCTATCGACGTCTTAGTGTTAGAAAGGAACGTCGTGTTATCACCGCAAAAGGTTTGGATCTCGCGTCGTTTTTGTTGTAGCTTCATTGACGGTGAGAGGTCAACGGTCTCGGGTCACTCGTTGGGTATATTGTAAACAGGTGGACTGACACTACACACTATGCAAAGGCCAATATTTACTTGCACCCTCGTTCTGTTTAGAAATTATAAGTAAACACTAGAATAGAACTATTTCAGACACACTACTTATTTTTTTTGTCGTTGGATTACTGGGAAGGGATTTACATTTGAAGACAAGTGTCTAATAAATGATTAGACAAAGTTAAAGGTTTCGCCTATAAAATTATCCAAGAGAGACAGTGATAGCCATTAAACAGCTTCTTCGGGAGATTTCTTTATATTCTTGACTTTATAGCTCATTTCAGAATAGCATAAATTCCTTTTACGTCTTTACCTCATTATCTCCTTTTTCAATAGACACATTTTTTTGTTAGTCTGCGATGAGTTTTGGTTAATAAAATCTTATTTTAAAAGCAGGATTAGTTTCCAAATGCGTTTATCTATGATAATATTATAAAACTTAAGAGTTTGTTTGTTTGAATGCGCTAATTTGCGCTCAGGATCTGCTCCGATTTGAAAAAAATAAATTTTTGTGTTGGATAGTGCATTTAAGCATCAAATCAAACCCCCCATCATCCCCCAGATTTAATTCTGGGGGGTGATCTGAATCTCAATGACATCCAGCAAGCCAGAGGTGTCATTCAATATTAGTTTATTTTGTTATGAAACTAGCAGATTATGGAATCCGGGACAATAAGGTGTTATTACTGGACACAGGGGCAATCCCGGATTTCCCTGCCATCTGGCAAGCCTACCTCTAGTGTATCATAAAACAGTTTATAATGCGATTCAACTAAGAATAGGACCGACTGGGCGCCATATTTTGACGTCATAGCTGTCAATTCAAACGAAATAGGTAGAGTGAACAAAAAATGTTGCTATATATAATAAAACTTATTTACTAAGATTAAGTGAGATGAAACATCAGATTTTTTAATAAAATTCATTAACTAAGGTTGAGAAAGAACACAACCGATTTTTAATAGTATTTCTTTATTAAGACTGTGTGAAAAAAAAACATTAATCAGAATCTAGCTCTTCAATTTCGCCCATCTCTGCATTACCGCCGGAGAAGTTATGAATAATCATGCAGGTCACATACTAACATGCATCCTAGATGTAAACGAGTTTTAAATCGAGTTTTTGAACGCACCATAAAGTGACATTAGGTTGACGATTTAGGTTAACAAGCATTCATAGCCAAAGCTCAATGAATAAAAAAAAGACAATTAAATTAATTATCAACATTTGTTATTGTTTGTTTAAAAATGTTTAGTTTTTATTCTAGAATCAGCGGAGTGCTAAAAAAGTGTTCCGAGATTTTTTTGCAAACCGTACTTTACAAGCGACATTTGACAGATAGAGGTCATTGGCTTTCCTATTCTTATTTGAATCGCATTATAGTTTACGGTATATACTCTTATTATTTGTGAGTTCAAAAGTTCACTTTGTGGTAGTTTGGTCAGTTTTTTCACGCCGTAACTTTCGTTACACTAGTGGTGGTGTATCTTGTATATCAGGAATCTCGGCCGGTATTAATTTGCGGTCTCGAATCGAACGCAAATAGTCGCTCGACACGCATTCCCTGTAGGCCGTTGCGAACGGCCGCGCGCCGGCTGACCGTTGCCGTTGCGTCAATCGAGCGATATTGCGTAACTGAGATTTGGCAGCAATCGCGTGAGCTAATTAACGGCTCCGCGAATACGGACGGACCGCTGTGGCCTACATCTAGAGCGACGTCAATGGTCAATGTCCGCTAGGGCACCTAACTAGTGCATGGAGACGCGATTTTAGTTCTTTGTTTTTTACACGTATCACCTCACTTTCATCATCATCATCATCGACCCATGCGGTACGGTTGTCTGCAGTGAATCTCGAAAGTTATAAAAAACCCAAGATTTGTTATCTTGTTTAGTACATATAATAACATCCAATATTTTCATTTCTCTCACACACACAAAAAATAACAGTGAGCCACGGTGCTTTAATCAGCTGTTCCATATTTATTTAGAATTATCGCCTATCAGGTGAACTGTATCATTACTTACTACCACCTGCGGGGCTCGATCGTTGAAGTTAAGCAATTTTCGCAGTGGTCGGTCATTGGATGAGTGACCAAAAATTTACTATCTCGAGTTCCTCCGTGCTTCGGAAGGCACGTTAAGCCGTTGGTCCCGGCTGCATCTGCAGTCGTTAGCACCCGCCAATCCGCGTTGGGCCCGCGTGGTGGGCCATGGCCCTATCCCCCTATTCCATCCATAGGGAAGGCCTGTGCCCCAGCAGTGGGGACATTAATAGGCTGATGATGATGATGATTTAATTATTATTATCTTTATTCTATCGATTATAATAGAAAAACATGTAATTTCACTCTAAAAAAGGAACACAATGCATTTCCTTAATTTGCTCTCTTCCGCGGCGACCAATTTAAACGCGCTAACCTTTCAACTGGCTCGCGACAGGGTCTCGGGTCGCGCCCCCTGCTAATGTAATCTTGACATTGTGCCCGACCGAAGGCCGCCAAATAATAGCCGCGCACCACTCCACCCGTTGCTGTGACAAAACGCAGCTTTGATTAATGAACCGTTTTTGTCCATGTAACATTGGCTTCGATTAAAGTTTCAGCTT